GGGAAGCAGGGGGGGGGGGAAACCCCCTCCGGCGGGTGTGCTGAAGGGGGAGGCAGTGGGGCAGGTGGGGAGCATCCTGAGCAGCGCGTGATCCTATGCACACTGACTCCATTCCATGGTATTTTGCGTGAGATTAGACTGGGGGGGGGCCTCTGGGCTGCAGTCTCCCTGGCCGAGGAAGTGAAAGTCCTCTCCCCTTCCCCCAACTGCGACGCCCACTCGGAGCGCTTCCTTCCGTGGCTCGTGTGCAGGCGCGCCCCCAAAAAAAGTTCAGCCTGGAAGCCCGGCCAGGAAAAGATTTAAAAATAGCCCCCTCCCTGGGCTGCTTTCGAGTTTCCGAGTCGGAGAGGCTTAAAATAGCCCTGCCCACCGCCAGGCTGTTGCTTCCCTGCCCCGCCCCCGCCCCCCGCGCAATGGAGCAGCGGCAGCCACCGCCGGACCAGGCTGCCGGGGCGCTGCTACTATTTTTGGCGCGTCCTGGGCCCGTGTTGCGTCAATGGCCGCGTCCTCTTGCGTCACGCGCCGCCCCGCCCCTCGTCCTGCCCGCCCCTCCTCCCGGCTCTCACTTTTTCCCTTTCTTTTGCTTCATACACATTCCAATTTACTTCGGATTAAGCAGACAATGGACCGGACGGCCTACCCGCGACGCGCGCCTCTCCCTATTCCTTACCCCGCATTTTCGCTCCCGGGACTGCTGTTTGCAAACAAGACTTTATTCCCCGGAGGGATGAATTCCAGGTCCCGTTATGTGTACCCACCCTGCTCTTGCGGACTCCCACATCACGCCTCCCGAGAGGCGACTGTTCCGCGAACAGGAACTTCCCCGCGAGACCGGCGCGGGTGTGCCTCCCCCCCTCCCCCCAATCCGCTCTCCGCAGCAACGGTGCCTTCTTGGAACCGATTTCAAGGCGCGGGGAGGCGCAGACGTAAATCCGAGCGGGCATTGTGCAACCTGTGGAATGCGTTGCCCGGGCGCGTCAGGAGGCTCCTCACCTGTGAAATGTACCTGCTCCTCAGGAACAAGAGGGGGGGGAGCGGATCCGGAATAAGGTGGTATTTGCCTGGCGGGAGTGGGGGTGAGGAGTCTCCATCTAGACGAAGGGGTGAGAGACCGAGAGGACGTACCTGGATCGAGAGCGCACCTTTCCCTTGCGGGCGCCGCTGAGCCACTCCAGACCCGCCAGAGCGCAGCTTTGCCAGGCTGGGGCGATTCTCGGCTCTGCGTGTGCCAGGAGGGGGCGGGGAAAGGGGAGGCGGAGGAGTCCTTTGTTTACACGCCGGGGCCCGGGGGGAGGGGGCGCTCGTCTCTGCGTGTGCCAGGAGGGGGCGGGGAAAGGGGAGGCGGAGGAGTCCTTTGTTTACACGCCGGGGCCCGGGGGGAGGGGGCGTCCCGTGCTGGGGCGGGGGGCGGAGAAGAGGAGGGCGCTGCGCCCGGGGGCGCGCCCAGGTGCCGGGCAGGGGAGCGCGCGCGCGCCCGAGTCCCGCTCCCACCTTAAAAGCGCCACGCCGGGTGATGTCACGTCGGAAATTTACCAAAGCGAGCCCCAGCCAACGGTGCCGAGCGAGCCAGCCCCTTGCCTGGCTGATTGGGCGGGCGGCACTGACGTGCACTGACGCTTGGAGACTTGAGGTGCATGTTGGCTGTGCAATACGGAGCCCACATAAACAAAGGCACATTGGAGGGAAGGGCCAGTCTGTCCGCCTTGCGCCTGGCGCGTCGCTCGTACGGTACTTCCTGGAAAGAGGGAGCGGGGCTGACGTGCGTGGGGCTCCTCCTGCTGCTGCGGCTGCTGCTGCTGCTGCTACTCCTCTGGGCGCCGGAGAGGAAAGCCGCGGCCGGGGCTCCCTCCGCCGGATCGCCGGTGTCCCC